ACATATATTATAATTATTTTGATAATTATTTTTATAATGTATTAATAATTAAATCTAATAATTAATTATAATTATATTAATAATAATTAAATATTACAGTTTAAATAATTAAATTTAATTATTTAAACTGTAATATTAAATAAAAATATTAAAATTATTATATAAATTACAAATGTATAAAAGTTAAAATTTGTTTATAATTATTTTTATATGTTTTCATCTTCCTCAAGCTAGGTTTTCTGGATCTATTTTTATTCGAATATTTATAATATCATTTATAACAATTTATTAATTTATTGATAAATTGATTATTGATAAATTTATATAATAAATTTATGTAATTAATGACAATTTTGTTATTTATTTATTAAATATTTATTTATTTATTATTATATTGCTATTATTTATTCATCTATATATTAGATAATCACTTTATCCTTGAAACAATTTCATGTTTCTTGTTTTTACATTTTTTCTTTATATTTTAATTTTTAATTGTAAGCCTTCTTTATAAGTGACAAAAATTATAATTTAAAATTTATATAATTCCACAATAAATTATACAATTATATATATTTTAAAAATATTTACTTACTCTTTTTTTTCGTATGATTATTATTGAAATGAATTTATGCTAAATATAATAGAAATCAAAATACGAAATTTTCTTTAATGATCGATTATTATATGTATTGTATTATAAGATTTAATATATAATATATAATATTTAATGTGATTTCTTTTTATATTTATATCATATTTATTATTTACATATTTATTTATTTTATATATATATAAATACAGCGTTTATTTATATTATATTATACTTATATTATACTTATATATTTATATTATATTTATTATATATTATTGATATTTATTAATATAAGTATAATATATAAATATAAATAATATATAAATAATATATAAATGACAATATTTTATAAGTAATAAGTTAAAAAAGAAAGTTCAAAACAAATTACATTATAAATGAATAATAATTTCTACATAATCGTACATAAAAGATCTATAAAAAAATTATTTTATATGTCTATGAATAAAATCTAAATAGCTTGCAAACAATTCAATACTTATGTAGATATTAAATTACTTATAATATATAAATGAAAAAAAAAATTTAAAAATTGCTTATAAATTGATATATTTCAAAGAATCTTCTACACAGTTATTATTAAGCAATAAAAATGTTACGTCTTTCTTGCAGCAGAAGTATTTTTTGCGTTACTAAAATATTGATTAGTAACATTGGTGTTTCATTGATGTGCAAAATACTATATTACAATCATATATATGTACATATATCGTATACGATAATATTAATTTTAATCTTTGCATAGTCAAGTAGCATTACTCATAATAATATGTAGATAATTATTGAATATATGTTTCTTTACAGCATTTTAATTTATTTCTTTACAGTACAGCATATTACTTTATTAATCATGTTTTCTTTAATCGTTTTAAAAATTTGGTATAACAAAGATTACAATTTTAGTTAATCTAATTTCTTTTTTATATGCTGTAAATTTCTCTCTCTTTTTTAGAAATCTGATTTACCAAATCAGATATACCAAATCTGATATACCAAAACGATAATAATCGATTTTGTCTTATATATACCGATAAAATTAAAATATATACCGGTAAAAACTACAATTGATGATATAATAATAATTGATAATTAACGCAATATTCATTATTTAATAATGTTCCTAGAGATTCTTAAATTCTTAAATAATTATTATTACATATATTTTGACAATTCATTTGAGATTAGATTATAAAAGAGTTTTAGATTATAAAAAATATATTCTAGTAAATACATTTTTAGCTATAAAAATTATATATATGTATGTTACGACTAGGTAAATGGTAAAAGAGTATTGAATTCTATACAATCCTTGTATCACTTTGTTATTAACAAACAAATATATAATTTTTTTTGTCATTATAATTATATGTATATTTATATATATTTATTTATTATATTATATATATAATTATAATTATATATATATATAATTATATTTATTTCAAACTAAACGGTGTTAATATAAAAAAAAAATTAAAAAAATCATTTTTTTATCAATGAAAAAAAAATGTTTTAATAAATATTAATCATGTTGCGATAACTCAACTTCTTCGGGTAGAACTTCTTCACATTCTTCATCTTCATAAGCTATCCAAGATTTTGGAAAGCCAATTCCACAAGGTTTTTTTTTTGCCAACAATTTCCTGACACGTTTTCGCATTGCAACTAACAGTAAAAATATTATTAAACCTTGTAATGCATTTAATATATCCGTTGGTATCCTAAATTGAAATTTAAATTAAAAATTAAAATTAGAAATTATTATTTATAAACGAGATCAACCAATATTTATTATTTCTTGATTAAAATTGTTTTTTAAAAAAAATTAATTTTTAACATTTTTAAAAAAGTAAAATATAAGTAAATAAATAAATAAAAATTACCAAAAATCATTTTTACTATGATCAACAAATGAAACTACTTCAAATATCCATGTAATACCCATGACAAATATCAGTTTAACATAAAGCAGACATTTAAAACGAAGTGATCGTAAATTGCTTCCACTATAATCTCTATATTGATGCCACAATCGCCAGCCAGTTAAACCAAGATAGATAATATTTAACGTTAATAAAATAGCAATTGGCCCATAAAAATATGCCCATGTTTGCTCAGGGCCTACAATAATATGGATAATAATAATAAGATTTATTAAAAATTATTAATATCTTATAAATATCGATTTTACCGTTAAACCAACAAGTATTATCTCCAAAACCAGGTTTCAAATGCGTTCCATCTACATGATGAGCGATTAAGGATACTATTAAAAAACACATTGGTCCACCCCATCCAATAATACTATAAGTAATAAAAAGTGGTTTATCTGCGATTATGAAATCTTTAAACCTGAAAGAGTATAATAGATATAATAGATATTAATAGATATATCAAAAATATAAATTGGAAAAAATTGGACTTCAAATATTTTTTTAATAAAATATTTACCAAACTGTCCTCCATATATTAAAAGATACAATGTTTAACCAGAAAAATACGGACATAAATCCGAAATATAAAATAAACCCTAAAGAAATATTTACATGAATTATTGATTAAATCAATGTATGAATTCACATCAGCATATCATACCTAAAGAAGCACATATCGTGTAATCTTTTTCTCCTGGCAATCTTAAATTTTGTACGGAAAGGATAATATAACTGACTGCTAATGATGTGACTACAGCCATCATCGCTTTATCTTGAACTTCTCTTAATTCTGGTAGTAAAACATAAACTGCTAGGGTGGCGATTAAGAATATGGCTGATATGATACTAAGAATACAAAACAATGTGTTCTTCCACATCACGTAATGTTCGCCTTCGAAACATATCAAAGCCACTTGCAAGTTGTTTTCCCAATTTGTCACGCAGAAACTGAATATTTAATTAATTTATTATAACATACATATTAATTAAACGTATACTGAATATTTTAAATTCGAATAAAATTATTCAAAAAAAATTCAAAATATTTAAAAGCGAAATATAAAAAGTGAATTTTATTTTTTGTTTATATTCTGAGAAAAAAATGAAAGAAAGAAAAAAATTTTTTAAGTTTAAATAGAAATATTATATATATTAAAATATCGAACTTTATATATATTGATTATCTCTTCTTCGTCCATATTCTAAACATTTCTTTTATTTTATTCTTCTTTCTTTCTTTTTCTGTTTTTTTCAATAGGAAATTTTAATTGGATTTATTACAAAAATATAGATATAAAACGAAATAAAGATATGAGATACAAAATTTTATTAGCTAAAATTAAATAACTTAAGTAAATTAAGTAATTTAAATTTAATTCAAATTATTATGATCATCTATAATTTAAAATTTTTTGAAATTTAGCAAGCAAAACAAATCTCCTTAAAAAAAGATATTTTCTCATAATTTTGAATTCGAAAATGACATCAAATAGAATAGAACTTTGATATTATGATTTACCTATCTGCCTTTAATTTTATGTGACTCATCTCCACGAATTGAAGCCATGGCATCCCATGCTCTTCGATTATAGTAAAGTTTTCCTCTTTAGAATCGATTATGTAATATCCATCAGACAAGCATGTAAGACGAATCTTTGTGCCATCAGAACAATTTTTCGAAGATGACGACCATGTCGAGTCCGGGCAACAGTTGATGTTGATCGCTAGACTCGATGAGATCGTCCATATTAACAAAAAGATCCATAGTAATTCTAAAAAAGAATAAATTTGAAAATACCTGAATCATGTATGCAATACATTTGATCTTCACGAAAAATTTTCATTATTCATGGAAATTAAAAATTATACTGATTAGATTACAACATACTCGAATTGTGTTTATATGCGTACGCACATTTTATATATACTTATACACTTAATGTAATTTATAAATATAAAAATTTCTTTATAAATATAAGAATTTTCATTAGGAAATTTCATTCTCTGTCACAGACTCTTCGCGTATGTATATAAATAAAGATTAGAAATATATCTTCTATTCAATCTGAAGAAAGACGCTCATTTATTTCAAACGTAATATTTCAACGATAAAAACTTAAAAACACAAAAATTTGCGATAACATATACGATAAATTTGTATATAAATTTGTATAAAGAATCTTATATATATCGGCAAATTTCCATTATTTTATCTCTAGCTATCAGAATGTATATATGTATATATGTATATGTGCCTATTGATCTAATAACAAAATGAATAATAATACGATGAATTTGTTAATGATGATTAAAATAAATGTATATAAACGAACAAAAAAAGAGGAAAGTGATTTTTTAATTTTAAAATATTTTTTATGTCCTTTTATTTTTACTTTACGTATTTTATTTTGTTTCTTTTCGTGATTGACTAACACATAAGAAAATATTAATTATTATATCTTTAAAAACGATTAATTCCCTGTTTTTGATAAGATAATAATATATAGATTTCTGATAAGAGATATTACAAAAAATTATTTCTATTATCGGTAATTCTAGTATATCAAACACACCATAAATTGAGAAGTTCGCATTTCTTTAAATGCGATTCGGTGGTTAAAAGTCATTAGCTATATGCATGCAATATAAAACGATCGCATTGAAAAGAAAGAGTGCTTCTGTTAGTGAGAATGCTCTTTATGTTCTCTTCCTGACTTCTTCAATGCTCTTGCATACGAAACGTTGCTCTTTTTTTATTGAGCCGTATATATTTTATTATTATTATATTTTATTATATTATATTCTTTTATTTTTCACAATTATATCATTAAGATCTTTAATTTAAGTTATTTAATTACAACGTTAATAATATAATTTACAATATTGTGTTGCATTTACTATTTGCATTGAATATAATTGATTAAAAAAAAGAATTTTATTGATATTTATATACTTTTGTTAAGGCTAGAATAAATAGAGTTCAAACACGCGCGAAAATGATAAAATCACATGTTGCTGATTTTTTATTCTTAGAATTTCCTATTTGTATAGAGATATTTTCGCAAAAAAGTTTATGTATGAAAGTTCATAACACGAAGTATTTTTTAATCATAGGCGATAATACTGTTTATTATATTGTGAATATATCAAAAGCACATAGAAACAAGAATCTATGATTTTTTTATTTTCCTTGTTTTGATAGCTCTTTTTTATCAATTACGTCAATATGATCAATGAGAAAAAAAAACATAAATATATATAAAATTTTTTCTTTCCCAGGTTTTTTGCATGATGCAATACATATTTTTACACGAAATTTCATGTTCGTTCTTCGAACAAAGAAGAAAGATTAATTATTTCATAGAATAATTTGTCGAAAATTTCTGACGATATGATATATATGTTTGTGTTTCAATCATAAACAAAATTCTTAACATATTACGTGTCAAACAGAATATGTAGATATAAAACTTAAAATTCATATAAATTCCGAACATGTTTACTTATTTACTTGAAATTATTTGAATTATATTATTACTATCTCTATTCATAATATCTATCAATTTTCTTTAATGAAATTAAATTAAAAGATTTTGAAAGATTTGAGAATAAATCATGAATATTCGATTCTCGGATAAACAATGGATTATAAACTCAACGAGTCTCGACAAACATTCAATGTATGTGCACTTGAGATAAATTGTATATACATGTGTATATATATATATATATAATAATATACATGTACATATGTATATACAAGAAGAAAAAGATTCGACAGTAGAAATGTACAGACCTTTGGCTGGCAACGTGTCCGAGTGCCTGTTGTAACTCACGTTCAACATTATATTTTTGATTCTCGTTACCACATTTCTTTGTTCTTCGCTTACTAAAAGAACAGACTTGTTTCCGCAAAATTCACCGAATAATTAACTAATCAATCCAGTCCTTTTAATCGATTACACTGCTAAAAATGTTTAAAAAATTGATTCGATGAAAAATTAAAAACACAAATCGTAAAATTTACATTTAGATTAGATTTATCGATCAGTGTTTAATCTTTGTTTAATCAGTGTTTACATTTGAATTAAGATATCTATTCTGTCAGATAATTTTTGAAAAATTATATATGTTTAATATATTTTCTTTTATTTAAATATTCCATCAAAAGATTATTTTAAAAAAAAATATCGATGGATATTTTTTTCATCACTTATAACTTTAACTTAAAAAAAAAAATAGCATTGTGTCATAATGCTAACTCTGAATCGTTTTTCACAAAAAAGAAAAGAAAACAGCTATTAGTTCATCCATTCATATTTCAAACGAATGACTTGATCGAAAAGTATGACAAATTAAAACGATATAACGAAGAAACACATCGACAAAGAGCAGCTTAGATACGTTGACACACTAACGTTGCGCGTGGTACTGAAACAATTGTGGATGAAGCATTGATGAACTAAGTACTCGGTTAGAGATAACATATACAGTCTTTCAAAAATGTGGGAATATCTATTAATTGAAGATTAAAGTAATTTTAAATATTCAACATTTCTTTTCGTGTTTTTAAATAATGATACATTTAATTTATATCAATATCGAAATAATAATTGAATTATTCAAAAAAACAAATACAAAAGTGCCTGTGCTCATGTTTTAATGATTTTTACGTAATATTTTCATGTGAAATAAAACTATATTGTTGTTTCATCAATATTTTTTAAGATAAATTTTGAATGATAATCAAACTATTAAATAATTATTGATAAAGAAAATTAAATATAAATTAAAGATATAAGTTATAAAATAAATGGATAAATATTTAATATGTAATAAAATATAAAAAAATAGATAACGAATGGAAATCATTTATAATAATCATTTATAATCATTTATATATCATATATAAATAGTAATAGTGATAAATAATGATTCTTGACAATTTAATATTATTTATTTATCACTGAAATTTTTTTAATTTATTGTTTTCAGTTATTAGAAATGTTGAAATTTTATGCCAGATTTGAAATCAATGAAGAAAGCGGTGATCCTCTTACTGATCATGATATGACACAATTACATTATACCAAGATTACTTCACTTCAGGTACAAAATATAATATATCTATGTATTTTGAACGCTTAAAAAACTCTTATTTTTAAAATTAAATTTTGTACCATTAGGAAAAAAAATTCTATGAAAATAAATAAAATAAATCTTTCTTATCAGATAATTTAAAAAAATGGCATATTTTTTTATATTCATTTTGATATTTTGATTTTTGTAAATAAATATTTATTGTAATATTTGAGTTATGAATCATCAAAACAATTCTTCCATATCATTTGTCAAATCATCAACGTTGTCGTTAGAATGGGCGTTCACGTATTAAATCCAAAGGAATACAAAAGCACAAACCAAAAACAAAATTCGAACTCTGCACAGAAAGCAGTTTTTGCGAAGTTTCCGGATTTACGAAGTTTTGCATTGGCGAACGTGGCAAGCGTTGATACAAGAGAAGCTCTTTATAAACATTTTGGTTTACTCAGGTAATACTTTAACATTTGAATCCTATATAGTGTATATTTTTTTAAATTATAAATTATTTGCATATTTCTTGTTTATATGAATTTTTAGTCAAGAAAAATTAAGATCAATCGCAAGCTATCTCAGCTTGGTACCATCAAAAGAACGCGAAAAAGAAGAGAATTGGTATCGATATGATATAGACTTTCTTCGAGAACTTTTGGTAAATTGAATAAAAAAACTAAATTAAAAAAAATAAGAAATTCAAAGTAATAGTTAATATAAAATATAAATTTTTAGATTTCACGTCACGAGCGTAGAGCTTCTCAATTAGAGGAACTTAATGAAATGCCACTTTATCCAACAGAAGAAATCATCTGGAATGAAAGCATTGTACCAACAGAATATTTTTCTGGCGAAGGTTGTTTAGCTCTGCCAAAATTGAATTTACAATTTCTAACTTTGCATGATTATTTATTAAGGAACTTCAATTTATTTCGACTGGAATCAACCTGTATGTATAAAATTAATGTCATTGATTAAATAATAAAATAATGATATAGCATAAATAACAATATGAAATATTTATAGATGAAATACGACAAGATATTGAAGATGCTGTAAGTCGACTGAGTCCTTGGTAAATTACTTTTTATATATATATATATATTGAATATATTGAATTATCAAAAAGTATGTTAATAATAATTTTATTTTATAGGCGAGCAGAGGATGGTGGTGTTTACTTTGGTGGTTGGGCTAGAATGGCTCAACCTATTACACAGTTTGCTGTAGTTGAAGTAGCAAAACCTAATATTGGTGAGAAAAGACCATCCAGAGTACGTGCTGACGTCACAATAAATTTAAGTGTTCGTAAAGAGATTAAATCTGAATGGGAAAATCTTCGAAAACATGATGTTTGTTTCCTTATTACAGTTAAACCACAAAATCTAATTGGTAAAATTTTGGTTATTTTATTATATTCTTTATAATTAAATCAAACAATTAATTTAATAATTTATTATTATTTAGGTACAAAATATAGTCATAAGTTACCTTTTGTACCACAAGTTGGATTAACAACTGTTCGAGGGTGTGAAGTTGAAGGTATGTTAGATTCAAATGGTAGAGTAATTGAAGATGGTCCTGAACCACGACCGATTTTACCTGGGGATACTCGTACATATAGAGTTTGGTTAGATTGCAATCAATATAGAATCGATATGGATAATGCTAGTCATGGTGGTGAAGATGTATATGAAAGTTTTAATGTCATAATGAGACGTAAACCTAAAGAGAATAATTTCAAAGCAGTTTTGGAAACAATAAGAGAACTTATGAATACAGAATGTGTTGTGCCCGATTGGCTCCATGATATAATTCTTGGATATGGTGATCCTGGTGCTGCTCGTTATTCTAGGTACATATCAAACAAATTTTAAAAATAAATATTATATTGTAAAAATTTTTATGTTTGTATTTAAAATAAAAAATATTAGAATTACTATATTTTATATTATACTATTATTATAATTACACTATTTTAATGTTTTATTAGAATGCCAAATGAAATTGCAACAATGGATTTCAACGATACATTTCTTGACATAAATCATTTAAAAAATAGTTTTCCTCAATACGAAATTAAAATTTCTACTGATGAAAAATCAAAATTAGTACGACCTTTTCGTTTAACATTTGAAGATGTACTTGCTAAACATAATAATGAATCAATAAAGAAAGTTATTAAAGTTGAACCTCATGTACCACCTAGTAGAGGTCCTTATAAAGCTAACGAACCAAAAAAGTATAAAAATATCTACTTTTTTTAATAATAATAAAATAATGATTAAATATAATAATATTACAATTTTATTGCAGAAATCAAATTCCTTTTACACCAACACAAGTTGAAGCTATTCGTGCAGGTATGCAACCAGGATTGACGCTTGTCGTAGGTCCACCTGGTACTGGAAAAACAGATGTTGCTGTTCAAATTATTTCAAATCTTTATCATAATTTTCCTAATCAAAGAACACTTATAGTTACACATTCTAATCAAGCACTTAATCAACTTTTTGAAAAAATTATGGCACTTGATATTGATGAAAGACATTTATTACGTCTTGGTCATGGAGAAGAAGCACTAGAAACTGAAAAAGATTTCAGTAGATATGGTAGAGTTAATTACGTTTTAGCTAAACGTTTGGATCTTTTAATGGAAGTTCAAAGATTACAGGTTTGTAATTTATATATTAATTGATATTATTATTAATTGATATTATTATAATTACGATATTTTCTCATATACAGCATTCAATATTTATATTTTTAGGAATCTTTAAATGTTAAAGGTGATGTAGCTTATACATGTGAAACAGCAGGACATTTTTTTATGTATCAAATATTAACAAGATGGGAACGTTTTGAAACAAGAAGTAAACAAAGACAAAAAACAGAAAATAATTCTGCTTTCATTATAGATGAAGAATTTTCATTTCATAAATTCTTTGATAATGCACCAAAACCATTATTTAAACGAAATACTTTTGAAGAAGATTTTGAAATTGCATGTAGTTGTTTCCGGTAAGTAGTCTATATTGAATAATTTTATATAAAATAAAATTATATTTATAATTAAATCAAACATCATTTTTCTAGATATATAGAGCGAATTTTTGCCCAATTAGAAGAGTTCAGAGCTTTTGAATTATTAAGATCTGGTTTAGATAGATCAAAATATTTATTAGTTAAAGAAGCAAAAGTTATTGCTATGACTTGTACTCATGCTGCCCTTAAAAGACGTGAACTTGTAGATATGGGATTTAAATACGACAATATTCTCATGGAAGAATCTGCTCAAATTTTAGAAATTGAAACTTTTATACCATTGCTATTACAGAATCCTCAAGATGGATATAATCGATTAAAACGTTGGATAATGATAGGAGATCATCATCAATTACCACCAGTTATTAAAAACATGGCCTTTCAAAAATATTCAAATATGGAACAATCTCTTTTTGCAAGATTTGTCCGATTAGGTGTTCCTACAGTTGATCTTGATGGTCAAGGTCGTGCAAGACCTAGCATTTGTAATCTATATAACTGGCGTTACAAGAAATTAGGTAATCTCGTGCATGTGGAAAATAGTCCAGAATACTTAGTAGCAAATGCTGGATTTTTATATGATTTTCAACTTATTAATGTCGAAGATTTCAATGGAGTGGGTGAAAGTGAACCCAGTGCTTACTTTTATCAAAATCTTGCTGAGGCTGAGTATTGTGTAGCCGTATTTATGTATATGCGTCTTCTTGGCTATCCAGCTGATAAAATAAGTATATTAACTACTTATAATGGACAAAAGCATTTAATAAGAGATGTAATAAATATAAGATGTGCTAGCAATCCTTTAATAGGTAGACCAAATAAAGTAACAACGGTTGATAAATATCAAGGTCAACAAAATGATTATATATTATTATCTCTTGTAAAAACACGAGCTGTAGGTCATTTACGAGATGCACGACGATTAGTAGTTGCTATGTCAAGAGCACGTCTTGGTCTTTATGTTTTTGCTAGAGTGTCTCTTTTTAAAAATTGTTTCGAATTAACACCTGCATTCGCTCAATTAATGCAACGGCCATTAAAACTACAGCTTCTTCCTCAAGAACATTATCCTACAGAAAGACTTAACAATACTATTCCCTCAAGTTCACCAATGGAAATTGAAGATATGCCACATATGGCTAAATTTGTCTATGATTATTATATAGAAAAAGTTAGTGGTATGAAGGTAAGTTAAATTTTTTTTATTCATTATAAATAATTATTAAATAATAAATAATATTTAATTATATATTATAGGAATCACAAAAAGTGTGGCAAAAACCAGGTATGGTGCAAACACCCAATAATCCATCTTATAAAATTTCTACTCATCCTGGAGCAGATGATGATACAGACGATGAGGAACTTAATCAAATAGATGATGAACAGGAAAATGTCAAAGAAGAAAATAGAGAACTAAAATTTGAAATAATTAAAAATTTAGTCGAAGATTTAACTTCAGAAAATGAAGATAATGATTAAGAGCAAATCCATATATTCATAAAGATAAAGTAATAATAAACAAATATTTTTATTGAAAATACTTTATTTTATTTTACTTTTTATATTAAAATTATATTAAAATTATACTTATTATATAATGAAATACTATTGAAACTTATTATAAAAAAATTAATTTATTATAATATAATAATTTAATTTTATTATAATAATGTTAAAATTAAGATTTTTTTTATATTTATTACAAATAATATTCTGATCTTTATATATTTTACTCTACATTTATTTTTATTATTTATTAAAATGTTTTTAATAAATAAATATATTTTTTTCCATTCATATTTTTCTTTATTAACTCTTGGATGTAGTTTTGTATATACATATATGAATACATATATATGAGTTGCCAAGTCAGAATATTATAAGTTGCTTATAAAAAATCCTAAATATTATATTAGAAATAATATTAATCTGATATAAAAAAATCATGATATCACGTCAATTCATTAAGATTTAATATTTCTTTTTGTTTTAATATATGTTTTTCTGATTGTAATTTTTTGTGTCTCTCAAATAATTTTTTCGAGTTTTCATTGGTTATTTGAAGACGTGATGGCACATAACTATTATCAAATTTCATTGTTTTATTAGTAAAATCTGGATGATATTCTTCAATAAATGCTTTTACACCTTTTGAATTTGGAATATATTCTTCAGGATGATACAAAACAGTTGTAGCACTAGGCTCATATGTTTCGTACGATATATCTAATGAATTCATAGAATTCGGAATATATTGCACTTCTTCCATTATGCTTTTACTCTCTGATACCATAGGAGAATATTCATTTGAAAGCACTTGAATTTGCTTTAATGTATTTTTATTGCATTGTGCATAATTTAAATTTGCACATAATTTTTTTGATATAGGTGCATTTGGCACATATTCTTCCAATATATCATTTTCAGTACTTTCAATTGGAAAACATCTCTTTATTTTATCATTTTTTGCATCAATAGATACCTTCATCACTAAATCATTATTTTCTGGTTCCTTTGATAAATTATAATGATCTTTTTCATGCATATAATTGGAATTTTTTCTGACCATATTTTCTGTTATTTGATTCCAAATTTCTTTTTTTTTTGTTACTATTTTGGGCAATTCTGTTTTTGTCAATTTTCTTTTTGCAGGAGATACATTTACTCTAATTGTAGGAAGTGACATAATATCTTTTACACTTTCTGATGGTTCAAATGTGTATCTATGATTTATAAAAATATTTATATAAATAAATAATAATAATTAAATATTGTAAGATAGCTATTAATATATATACTTTTTTAATTATAATGTAATAAATTAAAAACAATATATTATTATTATTATTATTATATTATATAATAATATTATATATAATTATTATATATTAAATATATAATAATATATAATATATTTATATAAATAAATATTTATTTATATATCAAAAAATATAATTTAAATAAAAAAAATTAAAATTAAATTTTAAAAATAGAAATAGAAAATAATTCTATTTACGTGACTTCCAATTGTCGAGTAGATTTTTTCCATTTGCATTTTTTAAAATTTTGAAGCGATCCTTCTGTTTGGAAATTGCGTAAAATTGCTTTCTCCAAAATTTTATATAATGCTAGCCAATCTTCAAGATTAAGCCATTTATTAGTAGAAATTTTTTTTTCTTTAATTTTTATTATTTTTTCTTGAACAGTAATGACAACCGTAACTAAACAATTATTTGAAGCCTACAAATACCGCTTCTGTTTTATTTATGTAGATGCAATTGACAGCTGTTAATAGCTATAAATTGATACCTTTATAATTTCCAAATATTGACCATTACAAAACATTGTTATAATATATTTAAAATTATTCAATTATTTCTTGGATTATTTGCTTTTAATTATCTGTCCTAATTTTGTATTATGTTCGTTCAAAAAATTATTAATGATCTTCCTGATGATGAATTTTGCCTTGACTTAGATATAACGTCAATGTAGTGTACTGACTCACAAATGTCAGCACATGAGTAAATATGAATATTAATAAACAAAAATAAAATGAAAATAAATTAAGAAATTTATAAATAAAAATATAAAAAATTTTAAAAATTTATATAGTAATCTAATTATCTATAAATTTGTATATTATATATGTTAAAATTTTTATATAAAAAATAAATCAAACATTTAAAATATTTTTATTATTTTATCGATTTAATTTTAAGAAATATATATTTTTTATTATATTATAAAATTTTATATATTAAATTATATAAATCTAAATTTATGATCGTTATTTAGTACAATATAATTTGTAAATAATATACTTTAAAAAAATATTATTCTTATTAAAACTAAGAAATAAATAAATATTTTTTATTTTATTGTAAAATTTAATATATTTATAACATAAAAATTTTTATATAAAAAATATGATATTTTAATCTTTTTTTAACTTTAGGAATTTACATAAAAATAACTAATGATCAAATATTTCAAATATATATAGTAAGACATTTATTTAGTAAGATATTTTCATATACATGTTTCAGATATTGTAATATCTTTTAAAAAAATAAGAAAACAATGGTGCCAGAAAAAAAATTAAATATTTTAGAAAAATTTATAATTTTTAGCGAAACAAATACTAAGATAGTAAAGGTATATTCTAACCTATTTTGTTTTACAAATAATTTTGTTTTACAAATAATTCTATATTTTGTTTTACAAATAATTTATATTTATCAATTTTTAATTTCAGGTTTTCGGTTATGGAATTGCTAGTATAAGCTTAGCAACTGCATTATATCAAATTAAACCTGTATGTATAATAAATAATAACATTTATAATAACAATTTAATAATAACAATTTAACTACTATAAATTTTATATTTTTTATTATTATATTTTTAGTTTGTTAAATTTAGAAAACCATCCAGTATACCATCTCGTTTTTTACACAAAAAAGTTCAACTTCAAGGTACTGTGACACGTATAGAACCCAATTATGGTGCACTTCTAATGGTTGATCACAAGCCATTAATACCTTTACCTCGATTAAGTAATCCAAAATATTTACCAATTAAAATAGCAGGTCTTGATATAACAGTTAATGGTAAGCAAAAATTAAATTATTAATTAAAAGATCTGCAAATATGTTATTTTAATCAATCTTTCTTTTAGGTATCAGTTGGTTACAAACAATTGTTAATAGGAAAGACATAAATTTCATACCTTTAGCTACAGAAAAAAATTATGTAATTTGCATAGTATCTATGCAACAAAATAAGGTAAAAGATAATCACTTTATTTTGTTTATTTCTTTAATTTATGAATTTATAATTTTAAATTATGTAGGAATATATAGAAATTGGTAAAGAATTAACAAAACTTGGTTTTGCTATAATAACGGAAGATTCTTTAAAGAAATTGATAACAGATAAAGATATCTTAAATTATTACAAATGTTTATTAAATGCACAAAAATGGGCACAACAGAAAAGAAATGGATACTGGCATTTTGTTAAAAATCCTACTTTTTTATGGAGAATCCAACAAAATTTAAGTAATAAGTTGAAATCAATATTGCCTATGTTTGTAGTATAACAATTTAATATTTATATAAAAATATTTAAATACAATTTTTATTTTTAATTATAAATTTTAATTTGAATAAAATATATTTTTTTAATATAATAAATATATTCAAAGTCGTACATATAGCGATCATAAATATGTACTTAAAGATTTCGCATTTTGTTTGTTCTTATAGATTAAATGAGTAAAAGACAATATTTAAAAAAGGAAATTTATTTTTATATTAGTTATACATCCCTTTATCCCTTTAAAAGATTTTTTTTCCACCATTATGTTCAAAATTAATTTACATAAATATATATTTCACTAAAGACAAACTATAAAGTATATATTTATATATTACATATAGCATATTCTAAATAGAAAAATATGCTAAGTTATATAGAAAAATAAAAATTAAAAATTTAATGGAAGATTTATATTATTTTTATAATTATAGGAAACAAATTTAATAACAAATTTAAATATTATAAACAAATATGTAATCTAATATAAATTATTTCATTTATAAAATAAATTAATAATCTTATTATATTATGCAATTTTTTTCTGAAATGCTAATTTATATCAAATCAATAAATATTTATAATGGATATTTAAAATGGATTTTTTCGTTTTTTTCATTTGGCTCTCATTTTCATTATATAACTAAATAAAATTGGAATTTACAAAATGCATATATATATACACATATAAATATATGTGTATATTAAATATTATATTAATATATATTATAATATGGAATGATTTATAAAAACAACATGATATTCTCAATTTTATATACAAACCTAAATCACTGTGTCTTTAACACATTTTTCAGTTATATTAAAATTAATATACAATAAAATAATATCATTTCTTTTAACATTGGAAAAATATAAATAAGAAATAAATTCTATAACATTAACATAACCTTATACATTATAAATCTTATAAAATATAACAAATAAGTCGATATGTTTGAAATGTAGAACTTTTAACATGGAAGAATTAATACAATACAGTTTTGAACTTAGATATCTCAAATTATACACATTGATTTGATTTACTTCTTATTGGAATTATCATCTTTTTTTACAAGTTTAGATTTTCCAAACTGAGTCTCATGAATATCTTTTTTAACAGGCTGATTTGATTTCATTTTTGCTTCATTGTCTTTGTTTGAAATTTCATGTTTAGTTTGTGATTTGGAGTTATCTTTTTTAATTTCATTTGAAACTTTTTTTGATGTTTCAGATTTAATTTGTGAGTTAAAATTATCTTTTTTAATTTCCTTTAAATCATCTTTTTCAATTTTTAAATTATCTTTCATAACTTCTTTTGATGTTTTCGAAGATGATGATGATGATGTTTTTGAAGAGATACTGCTAGATTGTTGATTTATAGATTTTGGTGTAATTGATTTTGATATTGTTGCATCTGAATTTGATTTTTGTGTTGTTT